GTTCTGTATATTCTTGCCACCTCTTCTTAATATCTTCTGCTTCTGTTAGGCCCATACCATTTCTGTCCTTTATTGTGCCCATCTTTGCATGAAATATTCCCTTAGTAGCTCTAATTTCCTTGAATAGATCTCTAGTGTTTCCTATTCTATTGTTCTCCTCTGTTTCTTTGCTTTGATCACTTAGAAAGTCTTTTCTTATCTCTCCTGGCTATTCTTTGGAACTCTGCATTCAAATGGGTATATCTTTCCTTTTCTCCTTTGCCTTTAGCTTCTTTTCTTTTCACAGCTATATGTAAGGCCTCCTCAGACAACCATTTTGCCTTTTTGCATTTCTTTTTCTTGGGGATGGTCTTGATCACTTCCTCTTGTACAATGTCACAAACCTCCATCCATAGTTCATCAGGCACTCTGTCTATCCGATCTAATCCCTTGAATCTGTCACTTCCACCTTGAATCTGTTTGTCAAATCCCTTACAAATAATCATAAGGGATTTGATTTAGGTCATACCTGAATGGTCTAGTGGTTTTCCCTATTTTCTTCAATTTAAGTCTGAATTTGGCAATACAGAGTTCATGATCTGAGCCATAGTCAGCTCCTGGTCTTGTTTTTGCTGACTGTATAGAGCTTTCCCATCTTTGGCTGCCAAGAATATAATCAATCTGATTTCAGTGTTGACCATCTGGGGATGTCCATGTGTAGAGTCTTCTCTCGTGTTGTTGGAAGAGGGTGTTTGCTCTGGCCAGTGCGTTCTCTTGGCAAAACTTGTTAGCCTTTGCCCTGCTTCATTTTGTACTCCAAGGCCAAATTTGCCTGTTACTCCAGGTATCTCTTGACTTCCTACTTTTGCATGCCAGACAGGATGTTGAAGATTATACAAATGTTAGCCCTTCCAAACAAGTTAGGTTTTGCCTCCTCAGAACACTTACCCACCTGGCAAAATCCATTCATTCAAGGTTCTTCAGAGTTAGGCCATTTGTATGACCCGACCCTGATGCACAGCCACTTGCCCCAAGGCAGAATTCTTTGCCCCAGCCTCTGTGTCCCCATACAACTGTGTCTCAGTTGTCTTGCACCTTTGTACCCATCTTTGCAGCCCAAACATCCAATTGAATGCCCAATATGGATCGAATACTCAGTATAATAAACTCTGAGCCAGGGTGGATTTAACAAATGATCTCAAAGGTTCACAGCTGCTTCTCTCTCTTGTCCTGAGCCAAAGTTAGCTTCAGTGTGGTGTCAACGATCCTAGTGAGGCAGCCCAGCCTCCTGGTCAGCACTCCATGAGGTCTGGGTTTGCTATTAACTGGTCCCAAGTTTACAGCAACTGTTGCAAGATGATGAGGACTCTATAACTTTGGGATAAATAGCCCTGAAGAGAGAGTCTACTGCTAGTATTACCCATTCATTCAGCAAATATTTATTGCTAAATGTTAGGCACTTTTCTAAGTATTGGGGATACAATATAAATAATACAGACAAATCACCTATTGTCAAGATGGTTACATTTCTGTGAGGGACACATACAATGAACAGATAAAATTAACGTGGAACTACAGAATGTTAAGTGTTATGCAGGTGCCAGTAATAATGCATTTTTATGACTCTGAAGTCAGACTGTCTGGGTTCAAATCCAGACTCTGTCACTGATCAGCTTTGTGACCTTAAGAAACTTCTGTAACCTCTCTGAGCCTGTTTCCTCCTGTGTAAAGTGAGGCTAATAATACCTGCCTAAGCTTCCAACTCCTTTTCAGCAAAAAGACTTTGCAAACTATAAAGGTATGAACCATAAGAACTATTATGTTTGTTATAATTTTGTTATTATCATTTTAGATCCAGGGGTTTTTAATCTCAGTATTTCTAGTGTGTTTATAATGAAATATCTCAAGGTTGGTCCCAAGACTAGCAGCATTGGTTTCACCTGGCAGCTTCTTAGAAATTTTAATGATATAATGAGGATATTTAAGTGAGTTAATATACGTACTTAAAACAGGACCTGGCTCATAGTAACTGCATTACCTGTGTGTAGCTACCTTGGTCATGATGGGATATGACCAAAAGTAACTGACTGGGGGAGGTTTGGGTCAGAGGTGAGATGGGAATTGAGTACTGGGGGGTGAGAAGGAGGCAGCTAGGCGAGGAGTCTGAGGACAGGGACTCCAGGCAGGAGGTGACAATGTCTTGAGGACACAGAACTGATTTGAGTCCGTTCCTGTGGGACTGCAGTCCTAAGGGCAAGGCCTCTTGCAGCTCCCCAGTTACTCAAGGGACACTCCAGCCGTTCTGTAGGGCTCTCAGGCCCCTGTGTGTGAGAGGGGACAGGATGCCCCCCCACATGGCCATAGGAGGCCCCATCTTCTGAGGAGCTGGCCCCACAGCCCTAGCAAAGAGTGCAGCGACGGGCTCCTCCTGAGGGTTCAAGAGGGAGAAGTGGACGGTGGGTTCCACGGGAGCCTGGCTGCCCAGGTTGGCGGGAAACCCTTTGCACAAAGGCATTTGGGGGAGGGAGGGTGAGAAAAAGGTGAGTGGTCACGTGACATCCCCACCACACTTTACCTCAGACTACTCCTTCCCACCATTCCCAGAGTACTGAAATTAAACTCTCAATGACTTCACCAGACTAAACAAAAGCCGAATAATCCCCCAAAGTGGAGCTCAAGAACTGACTCTACAATTCAAACTGCTTTTTCAAAAAACAAAAAAACCATACTAACCAGAGCAAATGGCCATGAGATTGTCTTCTGCTCCAGGGTAGTGTCTAGGAGCCCCGTCCTGACTCCGTTCAGCTCATTGCCTTGGCATTTTTACCCACCCAGTATGGCTGCCTGTGACTCTGAAATGAGCATAATTAAGATCACTTAGCTCTCGTTCTAATGGGTGGCCCGGATGTCAGTGCTGGTGAGAGCTGCCCACATGGCTAACACTCTGAGCATGCCGGAGAAACCTTCCTGAGGCACCTGTTCTAGATCAGAGGTTGTCTCCAACTGCAGTGTGGCGAGGATTCACCTGTGGATTTTACTGCAATGCTGGCTTTGATTCAGTAGGTCTGGGGTGAGCCTGCAATTCTGCATGTCTAACAAGCTCCCAGCTGATGCCAATGCTGTTGGTTTGGGGAACACACTTTGAGATAATTCCATTATAAAGGAATTGGAAATACTGGGATTAAAAACCCCTGGTCCTAAAATAATAATGACAAAGTTATAATAAGCTGTAGGCAATAATAATGCTGCTGGTTCAGAGCTTTGCTGTTTGCAAAGACTTCTTGGAGAAAAAAGTTGAGAGCTTACAAAGGTGAAGAGACCTGCCCAGCACAAATGACGGGGACACTGGATCCCAGGTGTCCCAATTCAGGTAGAGGGCACCCCTCTACATTCTTCTAATATAGTGAAAGTGAAAGTGTTAGTTGCTCAGTTGTGTCTGACTCTTTGAGACTCCATGGACTGTAGCCCACCAGGCTCCTCTGTCCACGGGATTCTCCAGGCAAGAATATTGGAGTGGGTTGCCATGCTCTCCTCCAGGAGATCTTGCCAACCCAGTATCGAATCCAGGTCTCCTGCATTGCAGACAGACTCTTTACTGTCTGAGTTACCAGGGAAATGTGAAGTGCAGGGGTATCCCCTGTAGGCCTATGAGTGATAAAAGAAAACACAGAGGGAAAGTGAAGTTAAAAAAAAAAACCTCTTTTTTTTTTTAATTTTATCTCTATGTGTTTTTATTGTAAAAAAAAATCAGAAAACAGAGAAAAGTATAAAAAGGAACATTTCACTGGGAGAAAAACTATTGCCAATGTTTTAGCATATATCTGTCTGGTCTTTTTTCTCTGATACACATGCTTTTTGCAAAAGTGGGGTCATACATGTATTGTTTTAGAATACACTTTTTTTCATTTAACATTATATTGGAGGCCTCTCAACTGCTATTGAATAAACCTACAGCTGCATTTTTAAGCACTGCATTGTATTTCATTGTATGGGTAGACCCATACTTATTAAACCAGTCTCTTATTGATGGACATTCAATTGTTTCCGGTTCTTTGATAGGATAAACACTGCTTCAGTAAAATCATTTAACATGGAAACATTTGGCCCGAGTTGACTGGTTCCTTTGGATAAAAATCGAGGATTGCAGATGATGATTCAAAGGGTACACAGTGAAATTTGATAAACTGGCCTTTAGCAAGGTGGTGGCCACAGCAGTGCTTGGGAATGAAGGTGCCTTCAGCCTGAGCCAAACCAGGACATCTGTTTTTTCTTTCCAACCTTCGCTAAAGTGCTAAGTGAAAACTGATATTGTGCTAATCTGTATTTCTTTGACTGTTTGTAAAATTTACCCATTTTTATGTTTCTTGGCCATTTCTACCACCTCTTTGACAGTATCAACAATTCAACTAATGTTTGCAAAACCACAGTCAATGTTTTTAAGGCGTACAACCTAGAAAACACTCAGAGCAAACAGTGCTCACTATTGAGATCTTTATCATACAAAGTTGCTCTGACGCAGGTACAAAAGAGCCATGGATGTGTGGTTAATGACACAAGTATATGGGAAGGGCTCAGATGCCAGCTAGGTCACTCACTCTGTGTGACCCTGACAAGCAGCTTAAACTGTCTGAGTCTCAGATTATTCACCACTAAAATGGGGACAACCTGCCAGGATGGTGGGAAGGGATAAAGGAGACGATATGAGAGGCACCTGGCACACGGAACGATCAACACATATTTTTACTAATAAGAAAACACTGAAACCCTCCAAAAAATTGTTGGATAAAAAAATAACTAAAAGTCACAAGTAGGGAATACGACCAATAAATAAACATATGGGGAAACATTTATCTCCTTTAACAACAGACAAAATGTTAATAACACAAGGAGCCACCCCTACTTTTTAAATTAACAAGAACATTTTCAAGAGAGAATTCCTGATGCAGAGGAAGGTGTGGCCAAGCAAGCTGTGCATGTTGTTGGCAGCATGCAGTTCCTGCAGCTTTGGTGGAAAGCAATCAGGCCACATGTATCATCACACAAACACGTTCGCAACCTTTGACCCAGACACTTCCTAAGGAAGTAATCCAAAATATGGAAAAAGCTATCTGTACAATGATGCTTCTTTCTCACCATTGTTTATAATGGTGAGAAAAGTGTTTATTTTTTTGTTTACACAAAGGGTAAAACCAAAGCAAGGGTGGTGTCAGCCCTTTCAGTTCCATAGGGTGATTTTTGGGCGTGTGTTAAACTGCGACATATAAACAATAACTTAGGCCTCTAGACAGTCTCTAAACCTTGTTTTAATTCACAGTTGAATACAGTGCTTTGGAAAGGCTTTTAGACTCTGCTGAACAGTGATTAGATTGAAGGATTTAAAAACCATCCTCAGTCTCTTCATCCTCTAGTGGAGCTTGGGGTAATTCGAAACTAAAGGAAAGAGAAAAAGGCGGGGTGGGGGGGGGCGGCGGGGAGTGTTCTGTCATTTGTAAACTAGACTTTTAAATGTCTGGAGAAGGAAGGAAGTCAAGGCAGGGTGGAATCTTCCTTTCCGTAAGCCCTGGGCCATTACAGCAGAGAAACCCCACCCCCGCCCAAGCCAGAAATTAGAGGCGAGGTGTCCTGAGACGGTGAGTCTGGCGGGGTCCGCACGCGTGCTGGGCTCCGCCCAGGCAGCCGAGGGGTGAGTCAAATCCTTGGTCGTATCCACATCTGTGTGTGTTTTCTGGTGCAGGAGGAGCCCAGCACCGCCTCGGGGAGGCAGGACCGTGCAGAGACGACCAGTGCAAGCTGTGCCTTCTGCCTCCGCCTACTTCAGTGGTGAGGGTTCCCGGCTGCTTAATTCCCAGGGTGGGTGGGAGCCTGTCCTGGGATAATAACTCCAGTGAGGGTGGGCATCAACTCGCGGAACGACCAGCAGCCACCAGCCAAGGTACAGAATCACAGACCTCAAGGCTGAACACAGAGACCGCCCTCTCTCTCAACTGACAAATCCTTTAGCAGTGGCCCTCAACTGGGGAGAGCTTCAGTCTTACGGTGCACGCTCAGATGCATCAGTCGTGGCCGATTCTTTGTGACCCCGTGGGCTGTAGCCCGCCAGGCTCCTCTGTCCGTGGGATTCTCCAGGCGAGAATACTGGAGTGGGCAGCCATTTCCTTCTCCAGGGGATCTTCCCGATCCAGGGATCGAACCTGCATCTCTTGCATTGGCAGGCGGATTCTTTACCACTTCATCACCTGGGAAGCCCTCAACCTTACCAGGGGACTTGAAAATAATGCACATGCCTCAGCCCCCGACCTACTGTATTAGCCTTCCCTGGGTGGGGCCCTTGTGGGAATATTTCTTTTAAATTTCCCCTGACTCTGATAGGCCCCATGGTTAAGAATCACAACTACAGCATTTGGAGCGTGGTTTGGCCTGAAGTCTCCCTTTGAACCTTGCCCACCTGGGAGATTATTATACACGACTGTATACCAGCTCCCACCCTCACTACTCTCCCCTCACAATGAGTGAAAAATCTTCCCTATTGGGTTTCACCTCTGTCCCCCAATCCCACCAGAAATAAGCCTAATCCCACCTCTCAGGGTTTACTTCTCCCCCATCCCTCAGCAAGAAATCATCCAGAGGTGACAAGCTGTAAAGTGGGTAAAAAAGTGTAGATGTGAAATCCTAGGGACAAACCCTTTATGGGTTTGAAACACTCTTAGGTCAACTGTTAGTTCACGTGGATTCAGAATCATTTATTTGAAGCTCCTATCAATCAGCCAGACGTGCCTCCTCCAAGCTCCCAAGGTGCGGTGGACTGAGGCCAAAGCTTGACTAATTGACCTTAGAAAGGTTGAAAGTCAAGGAGGGAGAGGCAGTGTAGCCCCACAATTATGTGTGTGTAATGTATGCTAATAAAGGCAGATGACAAGGTCCAAAAGACTGCAGTTTCCATTAGAAAACATTCCAGCATGGGAATAGGTACTTGTCATCAGGGTTCTATTGAGTTTCCACCCCCTAAAAAATCGCCATGTGTCATCTGGTGTGGACCATCACTCTAATAAACCATCAGCTTTGACTCTCAGGGATAGAAGGGCCGTGAATAATGCCAACCCTCTCAGTCAACCCAGGCTCACTATTTTTATTTATTGGATTAAAATCTAGGTTTTGAGGGGTTTTTGTTTTGTTTTTTTTTTAGGTTTTAGTAACTATATTAAAGGGCTTTCCTGGTGGCTCAGTGGTAAAGAATCCACCTGCCAATGCAGGAGATGCAGGTTTGATTCCTGGATTGGGAAAATCCCCTGGAGAAGGAAGTGGTAACCCACTCCAGTATTCTTGCCTGGGAAATCCCATGGATAGAGGAGGCTGGCGGACTACAGTCTGTGGGGTCACAGAGTCGGACATGACTTAGCAACTAAACAACAATAAGAAAAACAAATATAATAAAAAATAGTCTGACATTTAAAAAACATTCTGATTAAGCATTCAAAGTACTAGATATTTCTCTACCAAATTTATAGTCTAGACCTCACAGAACCACTTAAGTACCAATACAGGGACCAGTGTTCCAGACTACATTTTCTCTTTTATAACAAACAAATTAGAAGGAAAAACACAACCAAGTGTAAAATCAGGTCTAGCAGTAAATCTACTGCTGGTGATAGGCATGATTTATCATTTGAAATCTTGGTAAACTACATCATCCTTGAGGAATTAATTGAACAGAAGACTGTATAGACCCTTTACTCTTTTAGAAGGTTCGAGTTCTCTCAGATGGGATGTATTCTTTATTTAGCCTACTGGTGCACATACTGTTTGAAGGATACTTATATACGTGCAGATAAATAACAATTATGCTACATGTAAAATGTTTATCTCTTTATGTCTGGTGCAGAATTTTGGATTTAAGCGATTTTGGATTTACATGTCAGCTACTTTGTCTTGCTGAAAAACTGTCTTCTCAAATAGAGCTTCCCTTAGCTGTTTGGCAAGAAGATTTTAGTGCACAAAGAAGTTTCAGAGAGGCAGAAAAAGAAAGTCGTGTATTAGACTGAGCTCACTTGAGAGCAATCCAAGTTATCCACTTTGGAGAGCAGATGTTCACATGCCCCAGAGGAGGAGGGTGGAGACAGAAAATAAGGTGAGAAAATATGTGACTCAGGAGGAGAGCATGTTTTTCCAAGAAGCAGGAAAGTGCTTGGCTTCTCAGTCCCTAGCCTCGCAGACTCCAAGCAGGGTCGGAGTCCACCGGCTGCAGGCCCAGGCACAGTTGGATGAGCCTGCATTTGCAAGCAAGGCCTGAGGCTCAAACCCCATTTCCAGGAATCAGTATCATTCCTGACTCACTGGCTATGTCCAGGATATCTTAGGCATGGTGCCCTCCACACTAAGAATGAACTATGTTCCCTAGGGGCTTATTACAGTATCCTAGGGGCTGAGCTAGAACTTTCTTAAGAATTTTTATCAACTAAAATCCCTTTCAAAGAGTTAGAGTTTCTGTGAAGGAGGGAGACTGAAGCTACAGATGGCTCGGGGGAAGTGTCCCAGTATGACCACCATAGGGCATCTTTCTGATGCCCCCTGGTGGCCTTGCATCACTAAAGTGAACCCCACATGGTCTCTACAAACAAAGCATCACTATGAACAAAGCTACTGGAGGTGATGGAATTCCAGCTGAGCTATTTCAAGTCCTAAAAGATGCTGCTGTTAAAGCGCTGCATTCAATATGCCAGCAAATTTGGAAAACTTGGCAGTGGCCACAGGACTGGAAAAGGTCAGTTTTCATTCCAATCCCAAAGAAAGGCAATGCCAAAGAATGTTCAGACTACCACACAGTTGCACTCATTTCAAATGCTAATAAGGTAATGCTCAAAATCCTTCAAGCTAGGTTTCAACAGTATGTGAATTGAGAACTTCCAGTACAAGTTTAATATAGAAAAGTCAGAGGAATCAGAGATCAAATTGCCAACTTTGACTGGATCATAGAAAAAGCAAGAGAATTCCAGAAAAACATCTGCTTCACTGACTACGCTAAAGCCTTTGACTGTGTGGATCACAACAAACTGTGGAAAATTCTTAAAGAAATGGCAATACCAGATCTGCCTTACCTGCCTCCTGAGAAATCTGTATGCAGGTCAAGAAGCAATGGTTAGAACTTCATTGGAAAAGACCCTGATGCTGGGAAAGATTGAAGGCAGGAGGAGAAGGGGATGACAGAGGATGAGATGATTGGATGGCATCACTGACTCAATGGACATGAGGTTGAGCAAGCTCCAGGAGATGGTGAAAGACTGGGAAACCCGGCGTGCTGGGATGCTGCAGGCCCTGGGGTCACAAAGAGTTGGACACAGCCAAGTGACTGAACAACAATGGTCTCATAGCCTTTAACCCCATATTTGTCATTTAGTCACTAAGTCATGTTCAACTCTATGTGACCCCATGGACTGTAGCCCACCAGGCTCCTCTATCCACAGAATTTCCCAGGCAAGATTACTGGAGTGGGTTGCTGTTTCCTTCTCCACAGGATCTTCCTGACCCAGGGATGGAACCTGAGTCTCCGGCATTGTCAGGCGGATTCGTTACCACTGAGTCACCAGAGGCACAGAACAGAACCCAGGACTTTTTGGATCACTCAGCTTGTACTTTTGGATACAAAGTCATGCGATCTGGTACCAACAGTTAGCATAGCTTCTGCTCCTGATAAGAACTGAATTTGAAGCATGAATATGAAGAAAACTCTAGGTTTTATAATTCTGTGTTTCATATTTCTAATTGTGTATGTGTATATGATGACTAGATATTATCCTCAGGAAACGAAACAGATTTAATGTTTGGTGTACATGTTCTTGGGTTTCCCTGGTGGCTCAGGCTGTAAAGAATCCACTTGCAATGTGAGCGACCTGGGTCGGGAAGATCCCCTAGAGAAGGGAATGGCGGCCCATTCCAGGATTCTTGCCTGGAAGATCCTCTAGAGAAGGGAATGGCTGCCCATTCCAGGATTCTTGCCTGGAGAATTTCATGAACAGAGGAGCCTGGCAGGTTATAGTCCATGGGGTTGCAAAGAGCCAGATACGACTGAGTGTCTAATATACACACACGTACATGTTCTCACCAGGCCAGATTGTGCTGGGTGCACCTTCTCATCAGGAAAGCGCTCAAACAGGCAGGCAGAGGGTTGAGGGTCGGCTGTGTCGAGAATGGCATACATCCTCCATTGTGACTGGCTCTGACCTAAGAAATTTCACATTTCACTTTTACCAATTCCCTCACTGTCTCTATTAGCAGTGTGCTAAATGTTTATGGAATTCTATGCATCTTTTTTAGGAAGCAAAAAACAGGGAAAAAAGATCACAGAGGAACTGACTGTGGAAGGTTTCCTATCGCCATTCAAGACAAGGTGCTGCACCCAGACTCAGTTCTCGGTAAGTTGAGGCGTCTAAGGGCAGTCGTCATGGTTTCGGTCCCTCTTTGGGTTCTGCTCACTATGGGCAGAACACCTGCTACACTAAATAGCTTTACCTAGACTAGGGTGTTGCATGTTAATTTTTGTTTTTGCAAAATGTAAAGAATGAGTAATAAATTGATTCAGGCGAGATGTGATCAAGGGTCAAAGTGCCCACACCTGTCTCTGCCTGGAGTCGCAGGGCTCCGTGGCTCAGTCATGAGGTGGTCTCAGTTCTGTGTGGCAGCCCCCAGCTTGAACCAGAATCTGCACCTGAGGAGCTCACCCACATGGGAGCTGCTGAGGACTTGTCACGTACATCTCATAGGAGCAGAAAGAGTGGAGAGGAGACCCAGAGAGCACCAGTGCAGGGAATTCAATGATTTTTAGTCATAGGGACCTTTCTCCAAAGATAGTTTAAGCAGAAAAACAGTCGCAGGCAGGACTGCCCTGGATGAAGAAGAGGTGGGGCTGAGGCCTGCAGCTTAGGCAGCTCTGAGGGGGAAAATCAGCACCCGAGCCTAATCTACCCAGTTTATACAGGAGGAAACGGGGGGCCAGAGAACTAACTAGGCTTGCTTATATTCCCATAGTCTGATAGCCAAGAGCCTTTCCTTCAACTCAGTATTATTCCTACTCTGTCACATGTAGCTCTGTTTCTTCTCTGTAGAAGGTACATTTTCTAATAATAATAATAATAGGTTTCATTGACTGAACACTTACTCTATACACCAGAACCGAGCAGAGACTTTCAAAATGTGGTTAGAGGGCCCCTGGAGGGCTGTGAGGCCCTCTCTTTTCCCTGAAAGAACAATATTGCAACAGGTTGAATGGAGACACACCTGTGGAAGCCAGCTGCCTTTGGTTAAGCCAGATATTCTAGGTATTTGCCAAAACACAAAACACTGCAACTCTTCTCACTGGTCACTGATTTTTAAAATTTTCTAAATAGCTCTTCTTCATAAAAAAATGTTATTTTGTGAACATGAAATGATTATTGTTTTTAAAGTATTTTTTAAAATTTCTCAATTTAAAATTCTAAAAAAATAACCCTTGGAACTGCTCATTCAGTCTTAGGAAAATCTAAATGATTCTACAGAGTAAAAATGACCTGAAATTTATAAATAAATACTTCTCTACTAAGCCACGTTCAACCCACTGAATGTTGTATGACAGTTCTCCAGTGCAAGAGGAAGATAGACTTTTAGTGCAGGTATGAAAAGCGCCACATATTATGATATATGAAAATGTTAGTCACTCAATGTGTCTGACCCCATTGACTGTAGCCTGCCAGGCTCCTCCCTCCATGGGATTCTCTAGGTAAGAATACTGGAAGGAGTAGCCATTCCCTTCTCCAGGGCATCTTCCTGACACAGGAATCGAACCTGGGTCTTCTGCATTGTAGCATTTGAGCTACCAAAACTAGAATAAACAAAAACTCTTTAGGGTCCTCAATTTTAAGAGTGTAAGAGGGTTCGGAAATCAAAAATTTGAGAATTGTTGAGGTATAGTATATATCACTTAACTAGCATAATACCCTAAAAGGTAGGAATTATTGTCTTTATTGTATAGATAAGTAGGAATTAAGCAACTTGCCAGGGTCAAAAAGCCTGGTATATTATTTATTGCTGTGTAATAATGTATCCCCAAACTTAATGACTCAAAACAACAAACATCTGCTATCTCATTGTTTCTGTGGGCCAGGAGTTTGGGAGCCATTTAGCTGGGTGGTTCAGGCTCAAGGTCTCTCATGAGGCTGCAGTCATGATGTTGGCCAGTACTACCATCATCTGAAGGCTTTACTGGGGCTAGAGAATCTGCATCTAAGGTTGTTCCCACACATGGCCATTGGCCAGGGGTCTCAGTTCCTCTCCAGGTGGGCCAGTAGGCTGTTTGAATGTCATTATGATCTGGTAGCCTCCTTCCCCCAGGCAAGTGATCCAACAGAAAGACTGAGATGGAAGTTTCAATGACTCTTACAACCTAGTTTTAGAAGTTATACACCATCATTACCACCTTATTCTATTTGTTAAAAGCGAGTCACTAAATCCAACCACAATTGAGAGAGGAATTAGGTTCTATCCTTTGAGGAGCATGTTAGAGTTTGTGACATATTATCAACCATCACAGTCAGTACGTGGCAGAATCAGGCTTCAAACTCAGGCCTATGTTCTTTCCCTTGTACAACGCAACAGGCCCAGGGTGTACATCTTTCTTCCCCTATTTGTAATTTCCTTGAGTTCTGAATTAGAAGGCATTCAGTGACTACTGACTGAGACTTGGGAAGGAAAAAAACCTTCCTAGAGCTCACTCCATTTGTGATTTACACTTTGGTAGATAATGTTATAATGAGTGTAACCATGAACATAGCAAGGCAGGTATTAATAGCACTGGCAGAAGTTCCGTCCCCCAACCCCTTCTCTGCTGGAATTGAGATGTTGCTTGGACACCCAAGTGTGGCATACTCACCTGCCAGGCCCAGGCTCTCATGCTCTGGCCTTACTGGAGAGCGCCACTGCCCACAGCCTGCTGAACAAGACCCAGACCTGCACCAGATACAAGTGCTCTCTACTGCTAGCCTCTCTGTGGTTCTGATGAGGGCAAAGCTATGATTCAAGTTCCCATATGGATTTATGAATGTGTTGTAGAGGAAAACCATCTTTCCAGTTGCCTGGATAATAAGCTCTTGGCCACTGTAGGGTCTGAGAAGAAAATGTGGATGTATCAGGGCAAATCTTGAGAAATAATTACAAATGCAAGATGGTCTGATATCAATGGGCCAAATTTTCGCAGATCCATCCATTCAGAAGACCTTTACTAAACACCTACATGTGTTGGGCAAATCTGGAGACTTTCCTATCAGAACTGTTACTTATCAAAACATCTCTCAGTTGTCATAAGGGAGGGAGGGTGTCCCAAATATCACCCCTAGGCTGGCAACCTGTGTGATAAATTTCCTCCTGGGAAATTGAACACTCTGGGGCTAATGCATACTTTGCATGATCAGAGCTCTACTGTCCAAAGCACATTTTAGTATTATAATAATAAAAACCTCATACTTCTTTGCATAACTTGGGCTTTTTCAGGTTCTGATACAGGACACAGCTGCTGTTGTGCATCTCGGATTGGACTGCAGAGTAGTAAGTGTGAGAACTGTGGCACTAAGATTCATAACTCCCAGAGAGGCTGCAGTAAAGAATCACCTAAAGGTGAAAGCAACTGGGCCACCTCAGGAAAAAAAAAAAAAAAACAACAGGCTGTATCTGGTTGTCTGTGTGTAAGTAAGTACAACGGTTGTTTGCAGGCAATGAGTTGCGATTTTTAATCTTTTCTTTTCAGAATTTCATTATAGATACAACACCCCAGGACAGAATTTCTTTAACCATAGAGAAAGAAGTGCCTTTGCTCGGCTCCACTATTTAAATGAAAATAATTCTTCACCTAGTAAGTACATCTCTGCATGATCCCATCTTTGTAAACATCCTAGACTCCCTCTGTGGGAGACACACATCACATTGGCCACTGTTACATATGCTGGGCACCTGCTGAGTCTGCTGCCAGGTCTCCAGCACTCATCTGACACTCCCACATCCAGCCCAACGCCTGGATGGCAAGGGGCTGGGCTGGTAGATATGCAGTCCTAGCAATAAAGGACTTTGAAAGTTACGAAGTGCTATACCAGTGTAATGTGGCAACAAGTCATAAATATTTGATGAACAAAGGACTAACTGCCACTATTATTGTTATTATTCAGAAGGGGAAAAAGCTTTAAATATATCCCCAGTAAAAGTCAGTATGTAAAGAAATAGACTATTTTTACACTTAAAATAGACTATTTTACACAATATCATGTTGCTAATTTCAATGCAAAATTTTGCTGTCTTTGGAAATACCTAAAATCCCACAAACATTTATTTATAAAGATGAATAAGACAATGGCTACCTCCTCTCAAGGAGTTTACAACCTGTTGAAAGAAAGGAACTCATACCCTAATTAGGAAAGTTCATGGCAAAATGTGGTTAAGTGCTAAGAGAACAGTGGACTAAGGGAACACCAGGTGGGGCAGGAACACCCTTGTCTTGCTTCTGAACAACCACCGGGCCTGGTTCTCTGACATCCTTTCCTCATGGGTGAGTTCATACCTGCAAAGCTCTTTCTCTCCATTGCTGGGGCCAGGGCACCAGGGAGATGTTTCTGACCTTTCACAGTTGCAATGCCCAAGACTAAAGAATTGTGTTACCAGGCTGACCTCAGCTGTCTCCCCTACCCACCCCCAGCTGCCCAATCCTCCAACTGGATGTGTTCTGTTGAGGTGACAGTCCCTAAGACTCCACAGAAGCAACAGGCACATTTCTTTACTATCTCCTCGGTTTTGGGGTCAACAGCACATGAGACTTCTCATTCTAATATATGAATGAGGAAAGCAATTGAGTCGTTTGAAAAGTAATCTTGAAATGCCATTAGTAAATGTATAGTGGCCAAGAGAGTAGAAGTCTCAGGGAGGCGTCTTTTGTTCAGTGTTAAAGAGACCCTCCAGAATGGACAGAAAATGGAGCAGGCTGTTGCAGGAGGTTGTGATTCCCACCTGCAGACTGAGATACACTGTACTTTGCCAGGATGTTGTAAATCTGTAGACTGAATGAGAATGGGACCAGATGACTCTATGACCCTTTCTAATTCTGTTTCTATGTTTCAAATAAAGAATGAGATGACCAAGGAATTAAGACTGAGATCATTAGTACCACTGTTTGTCATGACAAATAAGTCAGGGTGTAGCGTGACTAAATGAAATTTGGACTTTCTGGCTCCTGCCTTGCCTTCCATGTCTGAGGGACGATCCCTCCCTGTCCCCTTGTCAAGTGGGACCCTCCTGAGAGGGAGTGAAGCCAAGATACTAGAGACCAGTGGATATGGCAGGAGACCAAAGGAGAAAGAGGGGAAGACAGAGGAGAAAGGAGGAGAGGCCAGAGAAGGGGGGGGGGAGGGAGCCTCAGCGACAGAGAAGGCAGATTTGTTGGCCACTGTGCTTCCCAGGTGGCTGAGTGGGAAGGGATCCACCTGCCGGTGCAGGAGACACAGGAGACATGGGCCTGATCTCTGGATCGGGAGGATCCCTTGAAGTAGGAAGTGGCAACCCACTCCAGTGTTCTTGCCTGGAAAATTCCAGGGACAGGGTAGCCTGGTGGGCTGCAGTCCAAGGGGCTGCACAGAGTTGGACGCAACTGAGCACACACACATGCTTTGCCTCTCTTCCTTGCCTGGAGCTCTTCGTGTCTTCCATGGTGCCTTTCCTACATTTATCTTATCTGTTTAGCCTCTATTTTCTAGGATTGTCTTAGTAACATAATTTTAAAATTTCTGACTCCTAGAATCCTTGCTCCTAAAGTAGAGAGGACTTTAGAAATCCATTTGGTCCAAGCTCTTGGAAAATATTATCCCTCCATTTGCCAGATGAAGAAGTTGAATCCATAGACATGCCCAGGTCATCCAGCTAGCAACAAAGGAACTTAGACTCCTGGTTTCTTGTCTGCTAATAAAACTCCTTTTAAGTGTTGAATTTCTTTTCTTGAATTCAGAATACTCAATGGCTACCTTCCATGTTCCCTAGGTTTATTTCCTTAGTAAAACTTTATGAAATATTTCACTTAAACAGTAAAGTTCAGGAAAGGATAGCCATATACCCACCATTGGATTTTGGGATCATTTTTGTGCTCTGAATCTGACCACAGCTAACATTTTTCAGCTCATTCAGAACCAAAATGGATCTGTTTCCAGAGAGCAAATCCAAAATCCTGTAATGATGGATGTGAACCCATACCAAGAAAGTAAGTATGAGTAACAAAATGACTACCCGTTTGGTGTACGCAGTGTGCTTACTGCAGCATCGTCTGTCCATGATCACCTACAGCAGCGGTGTCCAACCTTTTTGACATCAGGGACCAGTTTTGTGCAAGACAGTTTTTCCAGGGGGGTTTCGGGATGATTCAAGAACATTACATTTATTGTGCACTTTATTTCTATTATTATTACATCGGTGCCACCTCAGATCATCAGGCATTAGATCCCAGAGGTTGGGGCCCCCTGACCTAGATCTTAAGCAGTAGTCAGGATTCAAACCTAATCTGGCTAATATTTCAATCATTCAGTTATTCTTTCAACAAATATTTGAGTGTCAATAGCAGGACATTGTGCTTGTCCACAGTGACAAGGTCAACTGCGGTCTCTGCCCTTACTTTTTTGGTAGAGGAAAGGGGGCATAGACTACCATTACCTAATGTGGGTGTTTGGAGAAGCTGAGCTCCGAAGAGTAAGTATGAATGAGTCAGCAAGGATGGAAAGGCGTGAGCAAAGAAATGCCAGTCTGAGAGAGCCTCCTGGTGTGGAAAAGCCCTTGGCAAGTTCAGGAACAATGTGGCAGGAGCCTAAAAGAGGGCGAGGCAGTGGGGCAGGACAGGACTGGTGAGGGAAGGCTGGTGGGATGGGCACGGCCAGGCTGTGCAGGGGCTTGTCGGCTGCAGGAAGGATTTCAGGCTCTTAGGTTTAATGGGTAACCAGTGATTTTTTTTTTTTTTAACCAGAGTGTTTTTTTTAAAGCTTCCTAGTGTTGTAAAAGATCACTCTAATTACTAAGGGAGAGGGAATGGATTAGAGGAGTCAAGGACTGGCGCACAGAAGCCAGATAAGAGACCAGTACAATAAGCCAGGTGGGATGATGGCAGCTTAGCTAAGGGTGGTAGAAAAGCAGAGAGAAGACTAGTATTTTAGAGCTATCTGAGGCAGACTGACAGTGTAGCAGGGAGTTCAGGCTGTGCAGTCACACTCATTCAGTGTGAACCCTGCCACGCACTGCCATGGTGCAGCGAATGAATACAGCCACCGGGGAGTTCTTGGGTTTGCATCTTGGTTCTGTGTTCTTGGGCAGATGGCGCACCAACTCCTCACCCCCAACACAGACACACACACACACACACACACACACAGCCCCATTACTGAACCACAGAGTTGAAGAGGGTGCTTTACACAAGTATCAATGTGCTTTTGCCTTTCTTACAGGTCAGACCTTGCTACACTCTCACCCCATTCCCACTCCTGCAGGATTTCTGAAAACACATCCTCCAGCAACTTTAGCAAGAACAAAGAAACGGAATCTGAGGTGAGGACCTTGCAGCTTGTACGTTTGGTCTTTGTCACCACAAAACTGATGGCTTTTAAATTATTACAGTATGAGAGCATCAAAAAATGTTCTGCTGAAACAACTTGTGCTCGGCACTAACATAAAGACACACAGCCTGAGCAGCCACATGGTTTGTATTATTCCTAAATTGATTCCAATGGAAATTTCTTGGAGAAAGTGTTTTGTGGGTGGTTCCTCAGCTATAGGATTCCCCAGTGTGCCGTTCACAAGTTTATTCCAGTAACACTGGGGTTAGAGCTGCCAGCAGTTTCCTATTTTCAATCAGGTCACTTTCAAATGTCGCCACAAGCATGCACTGCATCCTGTGTGCCCCTCAGTGGTTATGGGCCCTAAATCCCCTTCAATGCCCCTCCTCCCAAGAGTTTTTCTTCCTTCTCACAGATCTCTTTTTCCACAGCAGGGAAACAGCCCAGCAGGTTGCTGACCTCATCCTCTGATTCATGCTCATCAGTCACGTGTTGATCTTTTTTTCTGTCCCTTTCTCTACAAAATATATTCCATTTCACACTGGTTTCCTAGGAAACCAGCTCTCAAAAACAGAAATAGACTGGGTGGAAAACAGAATACTCCAAAAATTCCACTTTGCAATGTTTAATAACGACAGAACCCAGTTACCGGGAGCGGTAGTAAATTTCTGTAACCAAAATGTGTGGACTTTTCCTCTGTAGATTTTAAATTCGTCTTTGGATCATGCCCTAAGGACAGCAACCATTTTGAAACAAACTACTGATCAAATGATTAGAACTATTGCAGAAGATCTTGCCAAAGTACAAAGATGGAGGAAAAAGTTGAAATACTAGTTTGATTCAAGGCAACCAAGGATTAAAAAAAAATGCAGAGAAAACTTGGTCTTCCCTCCAAAGGTATTTTACTTATTATACAACTTATGAAGATGACCTTCTAGAGAAAACACCAAAATTGCAAGAAATGGGGGACACAATTTTTTTTTTAAATGGACCTCTGATTCTTAAAAATCAAAGTCAACACATATTTGTTTAAAAATAAATGTTACTAACTTATAATAAAAGAAATGAAAATAGTAAAATATACTTTCCCTGTCAGTATGGCAAAAACTAAAGTTTGAAAAACCCAGGCTGTGTCAGGGAAGATGGGGGAGATGAGTGCTCTCATACACTGCTGGTAGAAGTACATATTAGTGCAACTCTGCTGAAAGGCAACTCGATAATTGCTACCAAATTTTACAAATTCTAGAAGTATTTACCTTCTGAGCAGCAATTCCATTACTAGTATTTTGCTTTGTAAGTCACTCAAACAAGATGTCACATAATTTGTATGAGGATGGCTACTGATGGGAAGGGCTCACAAATGGAACACATCTAATACCCTCTGTGATGATTCAAAAACAATGACAGTCGGGACTTCCCTGGTCATCCAGTGGCTAAGACTCTGAGCTCCCCAAACAGGGGGCCTGGGTTCGATCCCTGGTCAGGGAATTTGATCCCACATGCCTCAATTGAAAGATTCCTGCATGCTGTAACTAAAGATCCTGCATGCTGCAAGGAAGATCAAAGATTCCACATGCCTCAACAAAGACTTGGAGCAGCGAAATAAATAAATAAAGGTGAAATTTAATTTCAAAAATGACAGTCATACAGTTAATACTCTGCAGCCACTGAAAAGAATGAGGTGTATAATCTGTAAGATAGTGAAGAAAAGCAAGCTAATAAGAAATATGTGTGACCTCATTTGTTTTTCAAAGAACATATACAATTTCTGGAAAGATACACAAAAATATTCAGTGGACTTCTAGGAAATTCAACCGGGAGCCTCAAGAGAGGCTATTTACTTTTCATTTACTTTCAGTACTTAATGAAATTCTTATGGTTGTTTTATATATTATTTACTTAGAGATCTCCTGAAGTCAGAAATATGGAAAAATAATAGTCCTGGATTAATGAAATTTACCTAGGCCAAAACTGCATGCAGGGATTAAGTCCTGATTTGCTGCTTTTACGGACTGATGCTCGACCTCCTTAATGGCAGGGTAGCAGATTCTGGCTCTTTCCCTCTTTCCTGGGGCTCCATTCACTCCAAATTCAACAAATATTTCCCAACCCCTAGAGCTTCACTTAGTGGTAAGGAGAGTCTAATTCATTCCCGCTTTAAAGATTTCTGTGGTGACCAAGACAGCTACTATTTGTCTAGCTGGCCAGGGGATAAGCTATTTTTAACTTTGGGGCTTGAAAATTAGTTTAGGGTGCCTGGGAAGAGATAAAGAGGCCAGAGTGAGGATACCTCTGACTTCATAGCAAAATTTACTTTAAGTTGTGGCCCTGTGAGGAAGATAGTGAAGATTAGTAATAGCATTTTAAGAGAAAAAGGGGAGCCTAAATTGCATGTGCTAAGAGACTTTAATCATAACTTGATAAAACTCTTTTGGGTACAGACATCACTAATTTGTGCCCAAGTTTAAAATGACATACTTCTCTGAGTTCTTAAACTTTTGGGGATTCAACCCTCTTTGAGAATTTGATGAAAGTCAGGGAGCCTCCCTGCCCCATGCTCCNCTTCATGGGGAATACGACCCTCATCGACGAGGACGTGTATCGCCTTTGGCTGGACGGTTATTCGGTGAGCGACGCGGTGGTGCTGAGGGTGTGCTCGGGAATTCTGGAGCAGACCGGCGCCACAGCAGCGGTGCTGCAAAGCGACACCATGGACCACTACCGGACTTTCCACATGCTCGAGCGCCTGCTTCACGCGCCACCCAAGATGCTTCACCAGCTCATTTTCCAGATCCCGCCCTCTCGACAGGCGCTGCTCATCGAGAGCTATTATGCCTTTGACGAGGCCTTCGTGCGGGAGGTGCTGGGCAAAAAACTGTTCAAGGGCACCAAGAAAGACCTGGATGATATCAGCACCAAAACAGGCATCACCCTCAAGAGCTGCCGGAGACACTTGGACAACTTTAAGCGCGTCTTCAAGGTGGTGGAGGAAATGCGGGGCTCCCTGGTGGATAACATCCAGCAGTACTTCCTCCTGTCCGACCGGCTGGCCAGGGACTATGCAGCCATTGTCTTCTTTGCCAACAATCGCTTTGAGACAGGGAAGAAAAAACTGCACTATCTGAGCTTTGGGGACTTTGCCTTCTGTGCTGAGCTCATGATCCAGAACTGGAACCTCAGAGCCATCGACTCCCAGGTGGATGACATGGACATGGACTTAGACAAGGAGTTTCTCCAGGACCTGAAGGAGCTCAAGGTGCTTGTGGCTGACAAGGACCTTCTAGACCTGCACAAGAGCCTGGTGTGCACTGCCCTCCGGGGGAAGCTTGGTGTCTTTTCGGAGATGGAAGCCAACTTCAAGAACCTGTCCCGGGGGCTGGTGAACGTGGCCGCCAAGCTGACCCACAATAAGGATGTTAGAGACCTGTTTGTAGACCTCGTGGAGAAGTTCGTGGAACCCTGCCGCTCCGACCATTGGCCGTTGAATGAATACTGAATCAGTATTCGGCTTCGGTCCACTCCCTGGATGGCTTCCGGCACCAGGCGCTCTGGGACCGCTACATGGGCATCCTCCGTGGCTGCCTCCTGCGCCTCTATCATGACTGAGGCCCCTCCCCCGGCCCTTGCCACACTGACAATAAAGTTGCCATGACTTTGAACAAAAACAACAAAAAAAAGCAGAGACATTACTTTGCTGACAAAGGACTGTCTAGTCAAAGCTATGGTTTTTCCAGTAGTCATGTATAGATGTGAGAGTTGGACTATAAAGAAAGCTGAGCCCTGAAGAATGGATGCTTTTGAACTGTGGTGTTGGAGAAGACTCTTGAGAGTCCCTTGAACAACAAGGCGATCTAATCAGTCATTCCTAAAGAAAACCACACCTGAATATTCAATGGAAGGAATGATGCTGAAGTTGAAGCTCCAATACTTTGGCACCTGATGCAAAGAACTGACTCATTTGAAAATACCCTGATGCTGGGCAAGATTGAAGGCAGGAGGAGAAGGGTATGACAGAGTATGAGATAGTTGGATGGCATCACCAACTAGATGGACATGAGTGAGTCAGCTCTGGGAGTTGGTGATGGACAAGGAAGCCTGGCATGCTGCGGTCCATGGGGTCACAAAGAGTTGGACATGGCTGTGACTGAACAGAACTGAAGCAAAACCTTTGAAACCAACCCTCCTTTTTCAAACTTATTTCACCTGAAGACTTCTCCATCTCATTAATTGACAATAATTTCCTACAAGTCGCTCAAGCCCACACCTGGAAATCTTCCTTGACTGTGATCTTTCTTTTATACTCTACATTCAAAGTGTCAGGAAATCTTTCTGGATATACATTCAGGATGTATTCAGCATCTGACAGCGTCAGACCACCTTTCCTGCAATCATCCCCACCCAAGTGAACCTGATCCAAAGCCTGAATTTCTGCAGTTATGTTCACACTGGCTTCATGCTTCCAGCATTATGACTGTGTGATCTACTCTTTACACAGCAGCTGGAGTGATCCTTGTACAAAGAAAGTCAAATAAAGTCATACCCCCATTCAAATTCTTTCAATATTTTTCTGCCTTGCTCAGAATACATGGCAATGTCTTTATGGTAATCCTGAACCATCTGCAGCCCTCATCCTCCTCTGACTTTACTTCTACTTTTCCCTCCTATTGAATATCTTACAGCCACATGAATATATTTCTTGCTGTGTCTTAAATATGTCAGTCATGTTCAGGCCTTAGGATCTTTGCACTTACTATTCCCTCTTCCTGGAATTCTCTTTCTCAGCATCTAAATGATTAGTTCTCTCATTTTCTTCTAGTATTTGCTTAGATTTTATCTTCCCAAAGATGCCTGCTGTGACCATCTTAATTGAAGATAAGGCTTACATCCCCATGTACATCTCTCAGTACTCCCTATGGTGGTCTATTTTTCATACAAATTTTCAACTTTTAACATATGATTTAGTATTTTTATTATTTATTCTCTGAGTTCTATATAGAAAAGTAAGTTCCATAAGGGCAGGGGCTTATGTCTGTTTTGTTCACTAGTGTATTTCACATGCCTAGAACAGCTTATGGCATATAGTGGTGCCTTATATATGTGTTTGCGTGAATGTATGTATGTATGTATGTATATGTGAATGTGTATATATATATATATGTAAGCATATATGTGTTCATATGTATATATGAAATACATATATGAATGACTGAATGGACTCATAAAGTAGAAGAAAAAAGGAGTCAGATCCAAAATAAAATTATACATCTATACTTGTAGGCTCAAAGAACATATTTAACAGCTCTAGAGCAATGGCATTAATACTTTGTATGTATACATTTATCATTTCAATGAGAATTCTCAGATATAGCTAAGGGAACTTCAGAGATCTACTTGAATGGGAGTCTACCAAACAGTATTGCTATAGAGTTTAGTTAAGAGATTGGTGAACCCATTGCATCACTGTGCAGGTAGCATTTATAAAAGAGACCCATAAGGAAAAAAGCACTCTTACACATGTATGTACACACACACACACACACACATACACACACACACATTCCCACTCACACTCACAGCTCAAACAATTTCTCAAATAAAATACCTCTAGTGAGCAATAAGTCACTTCCTGGAAGAAGCATGATTTTGGAGCTATACTTGACTTGGTGATAAACAAAAACTTGTTTACAATAAGAAAATAATTTAGGCACAATATTAACTTCCATCAGCTTCCGTTTTCTCAATTTTTTAAAAATAAAAGGGCAATAACAGTAATACCAGAATTGTTAAGAGCTTAGGAATATTAAGGTAGGTATTGTATAAAAAATATTTCTTAACATTTTATTATGAGGAATTTTCTCTGGTTTTAAATATCAGTCCAGTTAAAGATTTTCTGCCCCTCACTTGTAACCATCTCCTAAGGCACCTTAAACCTCTGGAGCCAGGAGCTGTCTTTATAATGCTGCTCAATGCTGTGCTTCCCAAGACCAGTCTTCACAGAGGAAGTTGAGATGAGATATGTCTGTCTTCCTGGAAATGGAAGAGTTCCAATGTTTCTTCCAATTCTAATGTATTATGATACAAAAAATGTGTTTCAGGCAAGAGCTTCATATTATATCCTCATAAAAGCTATTGCTGCTTAATGGGCAAAGAGCTGTTGATAATTCAGGAGGGACAAAATTTCCCATTTTATTTGCTAATACATTAATACTGGCAAATCAGTGTTAGTATAGACTGTTGGCCAGTGCATGGAGATGAAACTCAGAAAACCACTTAATATTTAGCTTACAATATTTCAATTATGGTTCAATTGTGTTTCTATCACAGGACATGTAATTACGAACATTAAATAGTAATTTATGTCCCTTGTTCCTTAAGCTCTTCTAAAATGGGTCAAATCTTTTAGTGTCCTATCAGATTGGGGGCGGGGGGAAGAGCATTTTATTCCATTCAAATAAAATGTATGTTCCTTGGGTA